GGTTTCCACGTATGCCATACCAAAACATAAGCTGTTGCTTTTGACTGAATGGGAAAAAAACCATCGTCGTATTCTATTATTAGTTATATTGTTTTTTTTTTCTGTTCTCTCCTATTTTGTCATTGCGATTGTCGCTTCTAATTTATCAATACAGCATATTTTACACGTGTATTGAGTATTCTATTCTCTGACTCGAAGTAATAGGATATTCTTTTCTTTACTAATTGTTGTACATACTCTCTGATAGTTTTATATGCACTAATCGCATGAATAGTTGGAGAGTTTTGCTAATTTAAATCGAAATTTTTCTCATACACTCCAAGCTTACTATTTATTTCTAGTATTCAGAATAATCGATTCTTCATGTTTTTTTTACCAAACCTTCGTAATCATTAATTTTTACACAATTCCTACGCCTAACTATGGGCACTTATCGAATTACAACAACTCAAAAGTAAGAAAATTACACTAATTCTTTTCAACAGAGTATTTTTCTGATATTGAGTGGAGAATCACGAGAATGATTCGAAAAATTCGTTTGTTGTATTTTTCATTAAATGAGAATTATCATTTCAAGTCATGATGACTAAAACCTTCTATTTTCTGTACATTTCATTCTTTTCAATAGTGATGTAACATAAAAAAAAGGATTTTAAATAGATTTATATAATGTTTCATTTATGAAGATTTATCCGATGGATTAGATAGAACTAGTCAATGTCAGCTTTCTATCCGTATAATTTTTTGTTTGTTCGATTTTCATATAAAAAATAAATCTATTTCAATTGATCAAGCAGTTCAAACGATTATGGTCCATTTCCATTTTCAACATGTCGGAATGACTTTACAGATGATTATGAGATATTACCAGAGGTGTTAGGTCGTGGCGTTAATGGTAGAATATACAAATGTCAACATCTTCGAACAGGACAAAAATGTGCTCTTAAAGTATAACTCTTCAATTTTTTTTCAATAAATATATCAATTGATTTCTATTTGAAATTTCCATAGATTTTGAAAGATTCAATGAGAGCTCGACGAGAAGTTATCTTACATAAAAAAGCATGCGAAAATTGTCCATACATTGTGAAAGTATTGGATGTCTATGTATGAATATTGTTACCGAACTTCTGTTTGCTTTCTTCTCTTCTATCACGCTATCATTGATTCATTCTTTTGGCTTATTGCAGGAAAATATGTTTCGATCCAATCGATGCATATTGCTTGTAACAGAATGGTGTAGTTGATTTTTCATTGATCTATAAATCTAAATATATTTATTAATAAATTTTTATTCTAGTATGGAAGGTGGAGAACTATTTAATCGTATTGAAAAACAAAACAATCAACTGTTTACAGAACGTGATGCTGCTAAATATATTTGGATGATTGCTCAAGCTGTTTATCATTTACATGCAATGGATATAGTAAGACTATTAAACATTTCTTTCTGTTCTGTATATTTTTTGTTGTTCTTCCCACTACTTATAGGCTCATCGTATGTAGTTTTATCATGAAAAAATAAAATACGATAATGATTAACTATTAAATTTATGATTATAGGTGATTTAAAAGCAGAAAATTTTCTATTGACAAATGAAACAGACGATGCTATTCTCAAACTTTCAGATTTCGGATTTGCTAAAGAAGGTAAAATATTACTTATGTGAAAGAAAGAAAAAAACTAACTTTTTAAAATTTTTCTTTGAAGGAAATAATGAACCACTGCCATTGATAACTCCATTGTATAGAAATAAATGAATAATATCAAATATTTTCATTAGATTTTCTTGTTTAGATTTACACCGTTTTACGTTGCTCCAGAAATTCTATCTAATGCAAGATATAACAAAGTAATACGCTAGTTCTATTTTATTTTGATAGTCTATAAAAGAGAAAATCAAATTTGAAAACAAATGTCTTATATATTATTGAATTAACACATGATTCTATTTTTGTTTTTATTTGAGAAGTTCAAATAATTTTTATTTGTTTGTTTTATTTTTTTAATTTTTTTGTAAAACAGGCCTGTGACATTTGGTCCATGGGTATTATTATGTACATTCTTCTACGTGGTTATCCACCTTTCTTTCCAAAAACTGGAGAATACTCCAGTTCTGGTATGAGAAACAGAATCAAGACAGGTAATTATCAATTTCCAGATGTCGAATGGCAAAATATTTCACAAGAAGCAAAATTAACTATTCAACGAATGCTCACAGTGATTCCAGCAAATCGTATTACAATCGATGAAATTCTTACATGTCCATGGCTTACTGAATTGACTTCAGAAAGATCAATTGATATGAGTTTACTTCAAGACACTGATATTCAAGAACAAATAAAAGTGAGTTTGAAATTGAATATTTCTATAAAATTTATTTTGAATTTAATTGTATTTTTATTATATTTTCAGGATGCAGGTAAATGATTGTTTTGATGAGTGTATAGTGGAAAAATAGTTCATTTGTCAATTCTCATTCTAGTTGCATGTGCTACTGATGAGCAACGTCAAATCGATGATGATTTTCACTTTGAATTATCTGGAGTAGAATCATCATGGATTGCTAAACGAGCAGCTAAAAGAAAACAACAAATAAGTCTCACCGATGAAACTCTTTATACAATGAGAAACGAAATTGAACATGATCATGACGAAATTTCAGCCATTGCACCAACAGCATCAAATATTCAATCAGATCTATTCGGCATGAATTAGAACTTTCTGTATTATAAGTGCTTTTTTTCTTTGACCTTTTATTCAAGAGAACACTTACTTTCATAGTGTAAATATTCTAAATAGTGTAAAATAAATTATTCAATTATATTTTCAAGTTTCTTTAACATTGTTTGACATGTTTAATAAATGTGATTGCACAATCAATTGATCAAGTTTTGTTTGTCTGAAAAGCTGACTACTATTCAGCATCACCTTACAACGATACCCTTTTTTTGTCATATTGTAGCTCCTGTAATCGACTGACAGAATAAAATATTCTGTTCTAAAATATTCAAATTTCCTATGTCAAGATAATTAAATACTTTCTGATTGACATGAATCTAATAGTTGAGCTTACACAGATGATTTCTATTCACGATATTATTTGCTTGATCCTTCATATGTATTATTTTAATTTGATTGTATATTAACAATAAATATCACACTTACCCATATATCGCTTAAACAGGACTGCTCTCGAGATAAAATTAATAACTATAGGATCGTAGAATTTACTTGAATGTGAGGAATAAAAGAAATAGTTGTATAACAAACACAATAGGTACAAGTGAATAAAACAAGTTTATTTTGATTATAAAAAATCTGTTGACTAAGTTGAAAAAGTTATAAATAGTATGATACCGACTTTGGAACATTGTTAAAATTTTTCCATGGAACTATTAGTCATACAGCTCTTTTTTAAAGTTCTTAACAGAATTCCTAGTGACCCATGACTAGAGGATTACACTTATTTTATTTTCAATTCATTGAAAAAGATTACTTTTGAGAAAAACAATGTGTACATATTAGTTTATCACCATCACAATATTTTAGTTATATGTTTGCCTAGCTTCTATGTTTGATTACTAACTTCTTAAGTAGGTCACCAAGACACGTTCGTCGCGTTTTTCTCAATAAAAGTTTGACTATTTCTATAGTCTGTTCGCTCGACGAAAAAAGAGAACTAAAATATGCATAGTTGTTCGTTCTCTCTCAACACAATTTATGATTAATATCGATAACAATCGTCTTTCATATTTAATTAGTTGAACTGATTTGAATTTATGTATTGGACAAGAATTCATTTTCAAATGTTCGTTCAAATGGAAGACTGTCTGAGCGTTGGCAAATATCGACTATTCCGCTTTGTATCATCTTATCAGTCTGTTGACACAACGACCATGTGAAAATGTCACAGTAATTGCGTAGCGATACATCGACGACCATGTTATTCTGAATATATTTTTAGTATGTGTTATTGGATGCTGTTATCTATGAGTTTACTCTCTCGCCGACCAACTGTTGAGTAACCCATATAGAGAACAATCGAGAACGAGCAAAATAGTATGGGTCATGTAGACATAGAAGCAGAGTAATCAGCGAGGCATTTACCTCGTAATGGTATGGGTCATACAGACATAGAAGCAGAGTAATCAGCGAGGCATTTACCTCGTAATAGTATACTTGCTTTTGTTTTATCAAACACTGTAAAACAAAAACAAAAAAAAACACTATCTCTGACAAAAAAGAACAGCCTTAACTGTTATTGATATAGATAGTAGAAGCGCAAGGTATTTACATACTGAATAGAAAGAAAACGACGTTATTTTAAGTTACGGTATGTTTTTTGGCACAAAATTTGTACTGTCATTTTGATTTCATATGGAGTTCTTTTCAGAGAAAGGATGGCACTTAGTAGCAGAAAAAAATTCGCACAAGAAATACATAGTGATAGCCCAAATTTAATCTCTCGGCTCAGTTTTGTCTATAGTCAAATAAATTCCTATACTCCAAGTCTCGGTTGAAATCATGTCTTTCAATGAACGTTCTATTTCCGATGAACTAACCATCTAAAGCGACACGATTAGTTTACCAGAAAATGAGGAAAGAGTAGAATCAAGCAAATATATTAGGATCTTACAGACATAAATGAAAGTCTCTACTAAATGTATATCTGACTTCTATTAAACAACTATATTTTAGAATGATTTCACTTTATTTGACACTCTATTGAACTCGAATTTGATTACATAAATTTCTTTGGCAACAAAGATAAACTCTGGGATTCAAACGCTTGAAGCAGCCTTTCCCGAAAGATGTAGTGTCTCCGCTCCAGATTTTACCTTCATATTCCCAAAAAAAAGAACGATTTCTGAAAGATGTATATGAGCATTTGTTCGAAGTTATATTTTAAGTAAACTAAACGATTTCTTCGACAGACACGTTTGCAGTAGTTGTGGTCATAAGATCAATAAACTGTTTTTGTTGTCCATTATCTAGAATGACTCAGGAAAAGGATGATATTATTACTTACGACTACATTGTAATTGGTGGCGGTACGAGCGGTGCGGTTGCAGCTCGACGTTTGGCAGAAGGAGATACAAACTCTAGTGTATGCCTTCTCGAAGCTGGTCCAAGGTTTGTTTGTGTCTATTCTAATTTTCTTATCTTGAACGAAGAATTTTTTGTGGCAGTCATGAAGAAGTCATTCATGGTCGTATACCTGGTAATTGGGTTTTGGGTAAAGAGAAGTCACACGACTGGAACTATGATACTGTTGCTCAGAAAGGTTGCAATAATCGTATTATAAGCGCACCACGTGCTCGTTTTCTTGGTGGATGCAGTGCAATCAATGGTACATTGCTTATTCGGGGCACCAAAGCAGACTATGATCGTATCGCAGCCATGGGGAACCCAGGATGGAGTTGGGAAGACATGTTGCCCTATTTCAAAGCATCTGAGACGTTCCATCCAGCTGAATGGCACCAGTCAGACTTGACTGTTCATGGTACTAGTGGACCACTGCATACCGAGCCGTATCCTCATGCACCTATCTCTGAAAAAGTTATTGAATCATTTATTGACAGTGGCTTTGAGTACAAACCCGATATGTTTGTACAGGGTGACTATGAAGGTTTGTAACGTTCATTTCTTTCTTTGAAACTCATTTAAGAACGGTTTAGGTGTTGGACATGCTGTACGCACAGCTTACAAAGGTATTCGAAGTACAAGTGCGGACTTTATTCTTCATTACGAGAAAACAAACCTTACAGTACGAACAGGTATCTATGTCGACCGAATCATTCTGGAACAAAACAATGTGAACAACAAAGAAAAACGTGACTACAAAGCAGTCGGAGTAGAAGCACATTATGATGCAACTGGACAATCGATAATCATCAAAGCAAGAAAGGAAATTATTCTAAGTGCTGGGTAAGCTGCAGATTAGCAATTTTGTCAGAGAAAATATTCAACACTAAAGTGAATCAGTTTCGAGAACTCTTGTCAGTAAAATCGTTGAACAGTGGCTCTCTCGGTCTTTTGACTATTTGATAAGAAATCTAGTAGCTTTCACGAAGTGCCAAGCAGTCAAATTCAGTTTGGATTAGAGTGACGTCTATACTTTATATTGCAAGTTCATTTTTATTTAGTGCTTATAATTCTCCAATGGTTTTAATGTATTCTGGTATTGGTCCAGCAGAACATCTAATTGAAATGGGTATCAGTTGTAAGGTTGACTTGCAAGGTGTAGGAAGCAATCTTCAAGATCATGTGATAGTATAGATTTTTTCAGTTTAAATATGCGATACTTCATGTTATCATTTAGGTTCTTACATCTTATCAAGTAAATGATTCAAATCTTACGCTTGATCGATTTGTCTATTATCATCCAGACGCTCTTGCATTATCAGTCAAAGAATGGAATAAAACGAAAACAGGATTCCTGGCAGGACTGCCATTTGGTCCCTTTGCTCTAAAGCGAATCGACAAGACTATTCAAGATCCTGTTTGGGAAGCTGCAAAGCTCGAGAAACAAAAGACTCAACCATTAGAGTACGATCCGACTGGACAATGGCCAAATCAACCTCATATCGAGTTCTGGACATCAGAATTGTACGTTTATATTCCTAGCTGCCCACAAGCAGGTCAGTCGATCACAACATAAAAAGAAATCGTTGAACACAATTGTATTCTGAAGCATTCTCCAAAAAATTCTTGTTCAATTTTCAGTAGATAGAAAAATCGAGCTCAAATTTGTGAGTGCGTATGCGGAATTCCTTAATGTTCTAAAAAAAATGAACTGTCAATAACATTAAAAGGTTTAGAGTAAAATAGATTCATTCTTAAATCAGCTAAGTAAAGTACTAAGAATGTGAAAAGGTGGAATGTGGATGTACATCTACGTATTTTTGACCTTTTCACTGTCAGACAAATCATAATAAAGTGACAACTAGAAATCCTAACGATATATGGATTAAAGTGTCAAAATTTTATATCTACTCTTAACTGTATGAAACATGAATGTTTTACAAGATTTTACCATGTAGTTTAGATCCCTCTGAATATAATGATTTAATAAAATTAAGTGTAAAAATTGTCTATCGACTTTTATAGATGAGCTGCCACACAATCCTGTAGAAGGCGAAGGAGGTATTGGACTATATGTTCTTCTATGTGGGCCACAAGCAAGAGGTACTGTACGACTCTCGTCCAAGGACCCAACATGCAAACCCATCATCGATCATGCCTATCTTGAAAATGATCTCGATGTAGCTGTACTTGCTGAAGGTTGTCGAATCGGACACGAAGTGTTAATGAAAGGCCGAGGAACAAAAAATATCGTTGTTGGTCCATGGCCGAAAACCATATCCCATCCAAAGGATCTGGCTGATTGGAAAACGCATGTACGAGCTGTTGCTAGCACCTGCTTTCATCCATGTGGTACATGTAAAATGGCACCTGACACTGACCCTATGGGAGTGGTCGACAATCAACTTCGTGTACGAAACGTTGAGAGTTTACGAGTGGCAGATGTATCCATTCTACCTTTAATAAACAATGGACATACACAAGCACCTGCATATGCCATTGGCGAAAAACTCGCACATATGGTTTTGCAAGACACTACTGTTGCATGCTAGTTTCATATGCTTCGTACGCATGGACAATTATTACTATCCTTGAACATCACCTTTGTCAATCAATCCGTCTGAATGAAAGAATAAACTTTTTTACTTAATTAGAATTCGAACTTATCAGTGATTTATTCTTTTTTTAATTACCGAAAATTATTCAATAACTTCAGTAAAGAAGGTATTAAACCGTACTATTGAAGAAATTACATAAATCAATCGAAAATAGGCCTACTTCTAATATCTAAGTTACAAATTAACCCGATATACATATAGTGGCAGGTTATAATAAGCTCTTTTCTTGAACGGAATTTTTTCATTCGATTTTTTCCAAGGATTCGATGGCACATGTTTTAAAACAAATATACATAACATAATCTTTTGCAGCAAAGATCAATGCAAAATAAAAAATGTGATACATCCGTTCATTGGTGCATTCAATGATTGAAATTGAGGATTACACTTTTATTACTAAAGTTAAGCGATTTCTTTCGCTTATGAGCACCCAGCTATTAGAATTTGTCGTACACAAGAGTCTTGCAACACTCTCAGAGTAAGCATCAAGTCAACGGAAGTAGGATTCGTTGCAAAAGAAATGCTGCACCCGAGCAATATGGGCGTAAATATGAATGTGAATTGTTTCTTCATCCATATCCTCTTTTTGCCATTATTTTTTTTTTGTGCTAATATGTTCAAAAACAAAAAAATGTGACGTAGCTTTTGATAAGAAAAAAAATTTCAAAGGATTGCGAAAGAACAAAAAATGTATTACTCATGACTACTGTTTACGAATAAAGAACGATGAAGCCTTGACTATGTCAATATTATTCTCGTTTTATATAATTTCATCATGGTGTTTTTCTCTACATATATAAAAACCATCTCTTTTGATTGTCAATCATTGCTGAATTTTTATTTCGAAAAATGTCCTCAATTTTCAAATACGAATTATTAAAAACTGAGGGTACATGGAAAGATCGTCTCAAATATATTATATCGTTATCGGATAAAACTGAAATAGAAAAACATTTGAAGCAATCATTATCTTATGATGATTTACAAATGTTAGTATTTTTATCAAAATCAACAAAAAATGAAAAAAATTTATTAGAAATATTCAAAACAGATTCATTACCAATAAGACAACGAACTATTGCTGCAAAAGGTTGGCTTAAAATTCAAAGAAATGAAAAACAAATTTATGAATTTATTGTTGAAACAATCAATGATAAAAATATTGGTCGATTGTAAGTTTATTAAATTAAAAATAAGTAAATAATAAAAAAAAATTATTTTCAATGCTTTTTAAGTCTTAAAAATCAAATATTAGAAAATCTACATCAAATTGATTGTTTAAAAAAATCTTCATCATTTTTTTATAATCTTGCATATCATTTAACTGAATCATATCATCATGATCAATATAATCTTGATGCTTATTTAGTACCATTTTGTTCAAAAGATCAAATATTAAATCTTCTATCACGATGGTCAATTAAACGCTTAGAACAAATTGATTCTTCATCTTTATTTCGTTCAAAATTAATTTACTATCAACCTTTGATTATTATTCATTTAATTCAATGTGATTTAAATGAACATAAAAGCAATAATGAAAAATTTTCAAATTATTTTCAAGAAAACAATAGATTATTATCATCACTTGCAAAAAAAGAAACAAAAGCAATATTTCATTTAACAATTGAATATATTAATCAATTAGAAAAGCACAAAAGATTTTTACCTCATTTTATTGCATCAGAGCAAAAATATTTTTTTAAAAAAATGCCAAATGAAATGATTGAATTAATTACAATTGTTGCATCAAATCAACCAGGTTTTATTTTATTTATTTATTTATTTTTCTTATATTAATAAATGTTCCAGAAGTTTTGAAATGATTTTACAAGTCATCATTCTTTCATTCAACAAAAACAAATAGGTAGATACAATAATTTGTCAAAGTTATCAAGATTTTGATTTTGTTAAATGCAAAAACGATGAGTTTTAAAATCGCTGCAGAACTTCTGAAAAATCTCTTTATATAAATATTTATAGGTTCAATTAAATATCAAACATTTTGGAATGCTGAGGGTATCGATCTCGATGGATTTGTATTTCCTCGTTCATTTTCTCTTGATCATTATGTTCGTCTATTTATTGCTTTATATGATACATGCAAATGGTCATCAAATCATACAATTCGTCTTCTTGAATATATGTTAAAAAATAGAAAACAACATTTAGGTCTTTATAGTAGTCGAAAACAACGAAAATGGTTATTTGATATTGTTATTCATGAATGTATTGGAAAAGAATTATTTACAGAGAAATTATTAAAAGAAGGAAATGAAACAACTCTTACATTATTCGAAGAATATGCTGAAATAACTACATCACTTTCTCTTCATTTAATATCTCAATATGAAATAAATAAAATTCTTTCTATAAAACAACGTTTATCATTAATTCGTTATCAATTAATGACACAAAATATATATGATCAATTTTTAACTTTATTTAATCAAACAAGCTCAAGTATACATCAACGAGAACAAAATTATATTCTTTTTCTTCAATGTGCTTTTTCAACAAATGATGAACAAGTTAAAAATATTCTTCAATGGATTCAAAAACGATTTACTAATGAACGACTTCCTATTATTGAAACTTTTCTATGTAATTTATCAGATTATAATAATCGTTTTCAACTTAAAATTTTACCAAATAATTTTGAAACCATTGAAGCTATTATTGAACTTGCTCTTAATCATCTCCAACAATCTACAAATACTCTACAAATTATTGTTAATTATGGATTATTATTACTTACACGTGTTGAATATCATCCAAATAAAGAACAAAGAGAGCAAATTCAAATATTTGCTTGTAAAATCATCAAGCGGTAAGAAAAAGAAATTTTCCCAGCTGTAATATATTTACTGAAAAACAAATTTGCAGCTTGTGTTTAATTTGACTCAACTGAATAACTTGTCCTGCCTTTAAGGAAATTATGAATTTCACTATTCTATGTAGTGACCAGTTTACATGACCATATGTTAGAGTCCTGTAATCTGAACGAATCCGTGAATGAGTGCATGTTAAACTTTGAAAAGATTCGGATTCATTTTCCTAACGTAATCCATCGCTTTTCGTGTATTTTTTCAATTTATCATTTCCTTCTACAATACGAATAAATTCATGAAAATCTATGCATATTATTGTGCATGTGTACTTCAAAATAACTATAAAACTTGAGATAAATTTCCATTTATATCGAATCACTATATTGGAAATAAAATAGTTAATCTAGCATAAACAAACGAAAAAATATTTCGGATTTGGTGCTGTTTCGAAAAGTCAAACCCGTGCAGAAGTCTACTATAGATGAAACTATAGACTTTTAATAATTTCATCTGATATTAAGAACTTTCATGAATTTAAATTTTGAAAATCACGCTTGACTATCAAACCATGAAAGATTTTGTTCGTTTCAGCATCAGAAATGCCGTTTTTTTTTCTATGGCTTTGATCATAATGAGAACCTACATAAGATCGTACTGTGTCACTATTCCAAGTCATGTTTTATATATGATAATTTTCTACTCTTTAGATGCTTCTCAATGAAGAATGGTCTTAAACTTCAGATTCATTCATTATCTGAATCATATCCTATAGCACGTAACCTTATAGCAGATATTCTCATTGCTGATGTGTTTTCGAAATTGCTTTCGAAATATATGTTAGATGAATTAAATGATTCAATACGTTCTTATTTGCCAAAATCATGGCGTTTACCACAAATCGATTCATTTATTAATTCATTCTTTATTGATTATCTTCCTTCATCAATAGCACTTCAAACAGTATTTCAAATTGATACACACAGTTCAATTATTTCATTATTTTTAAAAAAACGTTCAACACAATTTGAACGTATTAATCAATTGATTACTAAAATAGATAAGATTTTTTTTATTAATGAAATTGTTCAATATATTGCTTTACGTTCTCAACAACATCGACAATTAATAGATGAATTAATTGAAGATAATAAATGTGTTACATTAGAAAAACTATCAAATGAAGAAACTAAATTTGCAATAAATTTGCAATCTCAAACAAAGAATATTATATTACCAGGATTAAATATTAATATTTTAAATTGTTCTTTTCATTACTTGACTGGAAAACAACAAGAACATATTACAAAAATTATTTTACATGATTTTCTTCAGGTTTATATATTTTAATATAAAGAAATAGTCATTGAATATTATTTTCTTTTCTAGAATAAAGAAGTAACTAATCTAAAGAGATTAAAAGCATTACATGTTCTTCATCATTTTACATATACATATAATAAATCTCTTCAATGGTTTGATGAAAAACAAATATCTTCCTTATCATTAAAGTGTATCAATAGTACTGATATTGATCCACTTGATCATATAATTATATGTTTACCAATTACTTTTGATTTAAATACTCATGATTTACTTAAACAATTTCATTTCTTAAAAAAGAAATTAAACGCATCAAATGCTAAATATATTAGTGATGCTATGTTAGCTATTTCACGTAGACTACCTGAAGAAATATTTTTAAAACATTATCTTGAATTGATTGGTAATGAAGAATTTCAAAAACTTGGTAAATCAAATAATTCTAGAAATTTAATCTTGCTCTTTTTTTTTGCAAATCAATATTGAAGCACAGAGAAAGAAATTTTGATTCATTCTATTTCAATGTCTCATATCCGCTGACACAAAAATGACTCAACTCTTAGAATAAGGAAACATCTCATTTAAAATATTGTTAAAAAGTTTTTAAACATCATTCACACCAGTGTAATGCATGTGAGAGAGAATTATTTTGAGCACTCTAATAGTGAAAATGTTGTTGAAGTTGGAACTGAATTAAAGTTTTTTTTTTTTTGGTCCGACCAAAATTTTCATTTTCTACTCAAAACTTACACCATAAAAGGCTAATCCCACGCTTATGCCATA